GAATATTCGCATTTGTATCAAATGTATGGCATAACACACTTGTATGAGGAATAGCTGTGAGGCCAGTATCCAACCGAAACAGTTGGTCGTCCAGAATACTAGTCCGTAGTTCAGGTGCAGTAGGGTTTCAATCTGGTAGGAGTAGGTCAACCCATGTATGACACCTATTGTCACCCAAATTGATAGGAATATTCTGTTGAGTCGTTTCACGCGTAAAGTTTCAGCCAGTGTTAGGCCATCGCCGATGTCCACCAGAATATTCTTGATTTCATTGAACTTAAGCCCGAAATAGGCGTACGATATCAGTATGATCCAGGTCTTGATGTGGAACGACAGGTGAAATAAACTCAGCTTGATACCATACTTGATGATGTTGTTGATCAGGTACTGGAGGGTAAAGTAATTAAAGTATAGAAATATAGCTAAAGATTTAGCTTTCAGTAGCGCACAGAATATGTTTTTCACGAATAATTTGTTGTCATTTTTAAATGCATTGAAACCTAAAAATACAAAAATTATTTTCAACGGGAATTGAAAGGACAGCATATTTTTATCTCTCTATGTTTTGTGCAAAAACTCGCAGTTTTAGGCAAAATGTTTCCCACAAAAATAATTTCATTACATGCATACAGTGGTAGCGACTATAACTATAAAAGTAATGTTTATTTAATACAATTTTCACATTATGTTATTTTTCGACTCATTATTTAAGTTAATGTAACATAATTAGTGAGAAAATTAAATTTTGTGGTATTAGTACTATTATAGGTAAAACAAAATGTTATTATCTAAAACTAATTACACAAAATACAGTGAAAACTTTTAAAATGCTGCTAGAATAAAAATATCATAAATTAAACGAGTACTATAATAAAACTAAATGAATAAAAGTTAATTAATTTAAATTTGCTAGACAAATAATTGGTATATTAAATAAACTGATTTAATTAATTACTTATTTTATGCAATAAAACAGTTCACATTTACTTAAATATTATACCCATATATTGTTTATTTAATTTTATTTAATTTAAAGTTTGTAATAATAATTTTTAACTAATTTACTTTTAATAAATTATTTATTTATTAGTATTATTGTGTTCTAGGTGGTTATAAACATTTAAATAAATAAAACAAAATACAGTATAGAGTTTTTGCTATAAACCAATCATCTAATTTGACTAATTTTAATGAAATTAATTAACAGGAAATAATTACTGGCAGCCATGCAATAATAAATAACTTATTTATACTTTAAAATAATTTTTCATTAATAAGTTATCATGTCAAACTATCAATATATGAATATTACACAACACTTATGCAAATCACTTTAAAACTGCTGATAATGCTTACTAAATATAAATTACTATGATATGATAACAAATAATCTAATCTATATTTATAAACAAGGCAGTTAATCACGATTCCGGTGAAAAACTCTCACAAAAACAAACAATTAAATTCATAGAAAACTTACGATAATTAAGCAAATTTGTATGTTAATAAATCATTAATTGAAATACTGATTTAAAATGTTTATTTTAATTCATTTATCAATTAGTAAGCTATTAGTCATTTGACGCAAATATTAAACTAATTTGATAGCAAATTATATATAAATACTGTAAAACATTTAAAAATTAATAAAAATATTTTCTACTCATTCAAATACTTATAATAATAAAACAAAATTATAACGAAAAATGTCTCAATTTGGCGGCGATTTAATCAAAGTCGTGAATGAACTTCAAGACCGACTCAATCCACTGGGTTTTAGCAATAGCTTTGATTTGCCACAAATAGCTGTAGTCGGGGGCCAGTCGTCCGGCAAGTCCAGTGTTTTGGAGAGCATAGTGGGCCATGACTTCCTGCCCCGTGGCTCCGGTATTGTCACCCGACGCCCACTTATACTCCAGTTAATTCAAGACCCAAACTCCGATGTCTGTAAGTGTTTACAAGTTTTGTTAGTTGTATAAAATGAAATGAGTATTTTAGATATTTTTATCTTGTTTATAAATTGTATATGTAATGGTACTAATATACATAAAAATTTACTAGCAATGATATTAATACAATTATGTATACAACTTTAACAAACTGTATAAATCTTTTTAATTCATTGTGTATTAAGGCTATAGAGAAAACATATTTAAAAACTCAAATAATTTTATACGTTATACAAAAAAAAATCACATAAAATGACAGAATATTCTGTTTTTATTGATAAGTTTACGGAGAATTCCTGCATTCGCCGGGAAAACGGTTTTACGATTTCAATGACATCCGGGACGAGATCACAGCAGAAACGGATCGGGAAGTGTCCCAAAGTAAAGGCATTTCCCGGAATCCAATCAATTTGAAGATCTATTCGCACGATGTGTTGGACCTGACATTAGTTGACTTACCGGGTATGACACGTGTGGCCGTCGATGATCAGCCCGAGGACATCGAGCAACGCATTGAACACATGATACTCGAGTACATCAGTCGCGACAATTGTCTCATTTTGGCGGTTACGGCAGCCAACCAAGGTAATGGCCCTTTAATTTTGACTACATTTAGTTTTAATTTTATTTTTTACTCTAATGGTTCATTTTCTACAATACAATTTCTACATTTATTTACAGTAGTAGAAACTCATACAGTATATGAATTTTTTATATGATTAGGATTTTTTATATAATATTTAGCCAAATTAAAACAATTATGATATTTACAAAGCAGTATATTTTTAAATCCAAATGATAAGTTTTCATATAAATTTCACATAATATTTGCAACAATAACATAATTCACAACAAGTAATTATTTTTGTGTCTAACATTTATACTAAATCTTACAATTAGTAATTAATTTAAAATTAGTAAGTTAGCTTGTTAGTAAGTAAGCTTGAAAGTTAGTACATAATGGTAATAGAAAGTTAAAATAATAAGTCTAAAATGTTGACCATCAAACTATATGATAGTTAATTATAAATTAACCTTGCTAATCCCTGTGCCCAGACTTGGCCACATCGGACGCCCTAAAGATGGCCAAACAGGTGGACCCGACGGGCGAGCGTACGATCGGTGTGTTAACCAAATTAGATCTGATGGACGCCGGGACGGACGCCAAGGATATCCTAATGGGTCGACACCGCATACAACTCAAGCGGGACTTCATTGGCGTCATCAACCGGTCCCAGAAGGACATCGACGAGCATAAGGACATACGGCGCGCCCTATACGACGAGCGCAAGTACTTCATTGAACACCCGTCCTATGGGCCAGACATGGCCGACAAGATGGGCATCCGATATCTCCAGGAGTACCTCCAGCGGGAACTGTCGCTCCATATATTCAAACGATTGCCGCCATTGAAGCCCAAGTTAGAGACAAAGTTGGATGAAGTGAGGGAACGGTTAGCGAAGATTGAGTTCCCCTTAGGAGACAAAGATAAGGATCAGGTGTTGGCCGAGGCCTACGATAAAATGAGGTCCGGCTTTGACAGTGGAGTGGGAGGAAAGGTATGGGTAGTGGATACCGATGCTCTGAATGGCGGCACTCGTATTAATACGTTGATGAACGAGACGTACGCCAAAGCCGTGAATAAAATGTTTTACGACGAGACGAGGATTAGGAGGGAAATCGGGATAGCCATCCAAAATGCTTTCGGTACGAGGATCGGGGTGTTTATACCCGATACCGCTTTCATATCGGTGGTCATGAACCAAATAGGTGGGTGCTTTTGGGGTTAGTTTTTTGAGTTGTTTTTTATTTTGTCTTTTTTTGTGGACAGAATTGTTTAGGAATTTATCGCTTGATTGTGTCGATTGGGTCACCGATGAGATCGTGATTATAGTGACTGAATGCGTGCAAAATATATGCCGGTTCCCCAAATTGAAGTAAATATATACCTGTCCAGTAACCGGGCACTATTGTACTGTTTAGTTTTATTATAAATATTGCGATTTGTATTATGTGCAGGGACATTTTCTCGAAGTTTGCATTGGATTTTGTTCGCGAGTCTAATAAGAAATGCAAAAATTTTGTCCAACATTTGATTGAATTGGAAAAGTGTTACATAAATACCATTCACGAGGACTTCATTAAAATGATCGGGTATTTCAGATATATTTCTACACATTTTTAACCAAGATTATTAATTTAACTTATTTATTGGCTATTAAAGTGACACCAAATCAGATCCCTTACCGGACACGCAGTCCATAATGACTGCCAAAGCGTTGCAACAAAATGTGTCCAAAAGTGATTGGATTTCATACAAAAAGTCCGACTATTGGTTCGTATTGAACGACACATCCCTGTCCT